GCGGCCTCAGATGTCGCATTTGAAGTGGATTCGATATGAAAAAGTGCCCAGCGCCACTGCTTGAAAGGTTGGATTTGGCCCTGAAAATTTTGGGCATTCTTGGAACACCTCAAGAAGTTGCTTGAAGTCAACTGATGGTCGTTGGATGTCATTGCTATGGTTTGAGCCATTTTCCATTGTCATGGGTCATATTGTATTCTTGTAGCATTATCCAGTGATTATAGCAAGGGCACGCAGTGACCCAAAGTGATCAAAGTGTGCTTTGATTTTTTGGTGATTGAAAATTTGCTGTAAAAATGCGGTATCCCGCCAAATCATTGTATCCACATTCCCGAGATACCCAGACTGCCCCCACAATATAGCCATTTACATGGGTTCCAATCTTATAGTAAAAAACACTTTCAAGATAGCATTAAATACAATATTTTGTGGGTTTCTTAACCTAGTGAATCTCGGGGTCTAATTTTGGATAATTTGGGTCACCCATATATTTTAGGACATTTTCATTAGCTGATGAACACTAGTGTGGCACAAAATCGTGAAGCAAGATCCTCTTGAGATGATGGCCGCTTGGACAATCGATGCCTATAATTGGGAAAGCATGTAAAAAATAAATATGTTCCAAAATTCCCAATGTGGTGCCTTATTTGACATAAGTATTTTCAGGTGAGCCCCGACACCATGGACACCATGCCCCTGGACATTGACTTCCTTGATGCTGATGCTGGTTTCGCTGATGGGGCCCGCCGACAAGCAGCCAAGGAATCTAGCTTGAATTAATCCGGCGAAGGCCAAAAATGAAATTCATGGGCCCTTTTTGAAGGGGGTTTTATTGATCTATCTATATATGTGACGGTAGGCTGGAATTGGAGAACCTCGTCAAACTCCCTGATATGTCTCCATGCACAGATCAGACGAGTCCCGTGCCAAATGATACTTCTCCTCGATGACCATCACAATCGGTGCATCAGGAAAGAGTCTGGTGATGTCTTTGCTCAGACTCTGATGGCATAGGGGTTTCCAAGAGCCTACCCCACCTTGAAGGGGCAACTGAGACATCCAGCCACATGCCTCGTAGTCTTGAAGCTGCAGGATGCACTGTGAAACAAATTCTTGGTCACGATCCAAATGTTTGCCATCTCAGGTTCCAAATTTTGATTGAAAAAGTTCAACAATAATTTTTGATGATATCATGACCAGGTAACTTGATATTTATTTATAACTACACTAATAGGTCTACAATTATCTCCTGGTCAATCTCACACACCGCATCCGCCCTCAAGGACCACACTCCCTTGGAGGCTGTTCCACCTGAGCTGACCGAGAAGGAGGCGAATCTTCTTGGTGACGTGGAAGAGGGGGATAAGGATGAGATGGCCGATGTGTATGGGAAACAACTGGCTTGTGTGAAAGCTGCCAAAATACAATCGGCCCAGGCTTTGCTTGACAAGGCGAATGGGAAGGGACGTGGCCGTGGCAAACGTGCCAAAGGTACTACCCCTACGCCAGATGCCCCCGATGTCCCAGATACCCCAGATGCTTCAGAAAAGGCTTCTCAAGGGTCTCCAGCAGCTTAAGCTTCTACCGAAAAGGGTTCAGAAGACTTGAAGCAGCTGTGGAAACAAAAGGAACCATACCAAAATAGTCAGCACCATTTTTTGTGAAAATACAAAATCGTTGCTTGATGCCCATGGTAATATTTTCATAAAACTTGGGTTACCCCCACATCATCAAAACATAGATCATTTTGGCATTGGGAAATCCAATTTGGAGATCCAACATTTTGAGAAACCTCCAGATAGTTTCTTGTTCAAATCAAGCCCCTCATGTATATAATGATATATAATATATGATATATATATAATATATATATATACATATTTATATAATGATAATAGCAATAAGAATAATAATGAGAATAATAATAATGATAACATTAGTAACGATAATAATAATAATAGTATTTACATATATCATGATTTGTAAATATATGTGTTGATGATATACTCGACCCTACATTGCCTAAGGAGAAAGACCTTCAAGCATTGCCTATTCAGGTCCCATCCAACGTTGCTGAGAAGAAGTCCTTCACAATCAAGCCCCCACAGGATTGCTCAGGTTCAGGCACTATCGGCATCTTGTTCCTTGAGCTAATTATTCAAACCTGAATGAAACCCTATTCCCACAGTCATCCAAGGTGATCCCAAACCAGAATCTGGGGTTTGCACAGTTTAGCGAATTGGACTCTTTTTTCTTTCTCTCTCCAGCACCTCCCACAAATTGCTGCTGGTGCCCAGGTGGACTTTGGACCAGATCTATGTGACCAAGGTGATCAATGAATATGAGGATGTCAAAACCCATCAAGAAGGGAGGTGCAACCATATCTGTCCGTCGTCGTGGGGGCTGGGTGCCACCGTACTGTATGAGCTGGCAGAGAAGCTGGCGGGCTGGAAGTAGATTCCTTTAGTGCTTGCTGGCAGCCCTGGAATTTTTATATGATCACACAAAAACATTATTTGACCAAATCAACTTCAGAATCATCCTAGTGATCTCGGGTGCCCTGGCTGGCCAATCTTGAAATTTTGTGAGATTATCTTTCTAGCTTGCCGTGAAGCTAGCTGGCTGGAAGTACATTCCCTTACCGTGCTAGGATGCCTGGGGTAGATCACAAAAACAAACTGCAGTAACCAAATTGTCACATCATCCCAACTAGTCAATCTTGATTTGTTGTGAGACCATCTTTTGGAATTTAAGACCTGACAGCGGATGATGACCAAACCGAAATTACATGTGAAATCATCTGTCAATTCATCCTATAACATAGTGATCTCAGGTGTCCTGACTGGCCAATCTTCACATGTTGTGAGACCAACCTTCGATTTTTAACACTTGAAATAGTGTTTGGGGGCATTGTTTGGTCGCAACAATTACCAAGATCGATGCAGTCAGCGAGCGTCAAAAATGTGAAGACCTGTGGGATCTAGATTTCCAAAAAAAAAGATTAGCACAAAATCTGTTGATGTGATGGGGGATGTGGCTATTGCTTGAACCAGCCGATGAGATCCACTGGGACTAATTGTCAAAGTGTAGTTATTGCAAATATTTGCAAATGACCTTTTAATTTTGGTAGTCGAGATTTCGTTGCATCTGATCGGAAACCACAAGAAACATCAGCAAATTTGCTGAGGGTTTGTGAGAAATCACTAGTATTACTAATTCGTTCTGTGTCCCTTTGGGTTATTCTTTTGCATTTTGAATCAAAACAATAAACTAACATGTGGAATCTAGACCACAGTGTCGAGCAATCAAAACCCAGTAGCAAACAACCACCCCAAACCCACAGTGACCCAAATGGGTTATTGATTTTCCCACATGGGGGGGTGCATTCTCCACCTTTTTTTGGTATCAACTTTCCCACCAGGGAAATCAAAACCGCTTCCCTTTGCTGGCTTGAAAGTTTCAGGCTCTGGGGCCCCCTCAGTGTATGCCTTTGGGTTGCACCAATCTTCCCTTTCTTTCAGCCATGCCTCGCAACTTGAGCAAGGGAAAGGGAGCCATGTTGCTCTTTCTAGGAGCACCGTTGGTTTTGTGCCCTGGCAGCATTTGGGGGTCTAAAGCTTTAAATAAAATGGTCATTCTGGAACCACGCGGAACCTGTGCCGGAACCATGCGGATGGGGCCGTAGTCATAGTCGTCAAAATTGCACGCAGAAGTTGACCATGATCGTCACGTGATCATCGCATCATCAGATGTCATTGGCATGTCGCCATGTAGGCACTGACATTCTCGGTGGATCCATCGGCCTACCTAATTACTAATTACATAATTGGTTCCGATTTTTTTGCCCACCCAGTTCAGGGAGACCCTGTATCACCACCATGGCCATGGGAAAATCCCCGGGATTCATTGCATCGACTGTTGCTTCCAAACTTATCTGGCTGGGAGACCATATGACACCATGCGAGATCCTTACTTGCAAATATGGGATGGAATCAGGTGTCCTTGGGTTTTTGGTATCCATATTATAGAACTCTAAGCTTTCACATTTCATCACGGGCCCTAAAGCAAGGCCTATGATTTGGATATCTTGGCATTGCCTGTGGGGAAACCAAATTCCATGAATGATCCTTGGGGGTTTGAAGGTTTCTATCAGCTCGCTAAACCTATGTTTTGAGGTGAGGTGAAATGGTACCCATCTCATTGGGGGGTGAGCCTTAGTTGCCTTCTTCCTTGGCAAGGACGTAGACATGTGCGAGCTCTTCTGTGGTCAGGGGGAGCTGACTAGGCAGTGCCGAAGCGATGGCATCGATTGCAGGGGTCTAGATCTTCTGAAGAATTGATACCATGACTTGACAACACCAGAAGGGTTACTTGACTGACTTCCAACTAGGGAACTAGGACCCTTTTAACTGTGTTTCTGTGTGGGTTATGCCCATGGATCATCATCGATCCCAGGTTTATGATGGCCCTGACGAAGGTCTTGAGGATTCGCCGATCTGGTCTCTTTTTCTTCAGGGAATCACTGCAATAGGTAGCTTGGAATAACCAAGTTAAAGTTGGCAAGAACTATATACTTGGGGAGCACCCCACTTTGATTATAAACATATGGGGTATCTCCACTTATATCCCACTATATATATATATGGAATATTCCCCACTATATTAACTATCTATCTATATCATACGGGATCACAAACCACTTACCAAGTGCTACTCTCAAAAGAAAAAACATACCCATCCAGAAAATCATTTCTGCTCAGTAGGATATGGATCAGTTCTTCAACAACGCGGCGCAACGCCGACAACTGGGGCATTTTTGGTGATGAAGATGTGGAATGTGTTCGTTTGGGAAACCAGGTGGCAGCAAGATGGGCCCTGCTAGCCTTGGTGTGCACCATCATGAACATATTTTGGGTGGTTCCGGTTCCTGAGCTGCACAGGGAAGATTTATTTGAGGGGATTTACAATCAACTATATGATGGTATCTATTTACTTTTTTTACTTTTGGATCCAACTGCAGGATGGTTTCCAAGGGTAGTTTCCAGATCAATGGGAGTACCCCAAAATGGTCTGCTATTGAAATTAATTATTGGCCAATTCTCTTGAGGTGGAGCAGCCACAAAGTTCATGCCTACGGGACTGCCCATATGTTTCCCATGTATTGCTCAACTTGGGCCCTCCTGCATTTTTCAGAAGAATGTGGATGGCGACTTTCGGGCATTGGTTTGCTAAACCAATCCAATTATTTGGGACCTGGCACTTCAGCTGCATACAGGCTGCCTAGCCCGAACATCAGTGGGACTTGTATTGCTCCGCAATCTCATAGGTTGTCGAGACCGTGTCCAATTGACACCACTTTGTGTCATTCAACACGAGGGTCCATCACAATTTGTTTCAAAGTTCCTTTGACCAAGCAGTGAGATGCTTTTTGGAAACTAAAAAGTGAGTAAAACCTAGGGTGGTTCTCGTGCAATATATATATTATATATATAATATTGCACGAGAACCACCCCCCAGGCAGCCAAAAAAAAACACAATGTTGTTTTGGTTCCCAGCACCTCTTTTTGTGGTTTATCCTGTTAATGCGTCAAGATCCACGAGTATGACATATGGTAACTGTAAGAACCCAACAATGCAATTTAATCCATCCCGATATTCAAACTTTACAAATTCCACAGCCCTTGCTATCTTAAAGCACCTTGCACACAAAACCACCAACCCAGAGCAAGGCGGGATGGCACCTGACCAAAAACCCAAGTAATCCTTCGAAGCCCCTTTGGCACCAGTAGTAGATTCGCCATGACCGGTCACAGTCGATGTACCATGGCTAGTGGCCTTGGCAGCCTTAAGCTTTGCCAAATGGCGTTTCATACGCCAAAAAATAGAAACATGCACCTTTGGGGCCCTGTTAAACGTGAGTTTCTTGAAATAATGTTCCTGATGTTTAACGATATTCTTGATATTTTCCACACATGGTGTTTCTTTCACCGCTGATCACATGTTTTGGATGCCCAACAATGAGGGGTTGATGCCTCTTAAGATTTCCTAACACCAAGATGTGTTGTACCTGGAGAGCCGCAATGGATGATGGTGTGAATCCTCATACATTTGATGGACTTTTAATGGACTTTTATGGGTACCAACAAATGTTAGCAAAATTTGGCATCATTGCCTCCGTATGCAACATGTTGACATCATGCCTACATCATGCCTCAAATGTGCATATTTGCAATCATCGATTCCCAGGGAATGGAAATTTTAATGGGTAAATCGGATTTTCTAGCAAGCCACCTTTGATTACCGGAAGGTACCCTTCGTCACACCGGAACCCCGTTCTCGCTAGATGGGTGCATAGCGCAGGACCATTCTCGTGTCTCAGTGTAGCTGGGAAGCGGCTCTGGAAGTACTTTGGTATCCTGCTTGCACTTCTGGAGTTGTGGGGAACTTGACAGCAGTTTGGAAAAAACCGCAGCCTCGCAGCCACCAGTCGCTTTTAGATTCTAGATGCGCGTGGTTTGAGAAAATTGCATAATGTGGGAAACCCAATGACAAACCTCTCATGAGAATGGTTTATAGAAGCCATTTATGGTGATTTTTGGGATGGTTTATGGCATTGGGTTTAGCACATCATCATTGATTCATTGAAGCATTCTTGCAGTTCACCAGTCGCCTGGCAGGGAAAGTCCTCAGAGCCTTGGCTGCAACCACCGAGGAGCATCATTTGACCAGATGTATTTGCAGTACATGTGTTTCATTGTGTTTCATGGTTTCATGGTTGTGGACCATTTCGCACACGAACACGTAGCAGATGTAGCACTTGCACACCCTCAAGCACTCTCCTTGTGCCAGCAAGGATGCTGCGGGATCAAATTGCCGTGGGGTCAGTCCTGACAACTCTTGCCAAAGGCGATGATTGGGGGCAAATTGTGCCGGTCTCATCACCTGAAACAGTCCAACGGCATCCAAAGGCCATCTATAGGAATTGTATTGTATAGAATAGTATAGGAAATTTGATATGGTCTAAAAAACTCTGACATGATCTAAGATATAAAATGATGGAAATACATATATCCCCTTTCCGTAAGTTACCACAGCTATTGGCCATGGTATCCATGGTCCATCCGAGTCCATCCCTGGCAGGTGCAAGGTGGCAGCTTGCCTTGGCCTTGATCAAGGATGTCAAGGTGGCTTCAATGGGAGCCTAAGGCCCTAAGGTTGAGATAAGGCTACATAGGTTGATCTAAGATTGAGATAAGGCTAAGTCGATGATCCATGATGACTCATGATGATTCATTATGATTCACGGTGACTCATGGTGTTCGATGCGTTTCTTGCCACTCCAGCCGGCTCCGAAACGGAGCCTTACGTTGCCACGCACGAAGGCATCGTCACTTCAGCCAGATACAGTGAGCATCCAGCTGGTTGTGCAGAGTTGTGAGAAGGCTTCAGGGTCTGACCTGGGGCAAGTAGAACAAAGTTTTACCACCCTGTTGGCAATCTAGAATTCAGAAAAAAATACCTTTATCGCAAGGTCAATGAAGACCGTGGTACCTTTTAGATCCAGTAGGATGTTACTTTTCATTACTTTCCTATCTTTGGGCGGTTACTGCTACATGCATGCATGATACGGGTAGTATGACCTGTCAGTCGGAGGCATCGCTTTGGGGAGCAGCTGTGGAGCTGATGTCTCGGCAGGCGGGCTGAGGTGGGAGCCTACAATGAAGGTGATTTGTTGGAGATGAGATAGTGATATATAAATAATGGTTGGCACCCCAAACTGCTAATGTAGAGGAAATCCAAGAATTCTAAGAGACCCTGTTGATTTATGTGCAATGATGTGCAGAATTGTGCAGATTGGGGTGACTCTCAAATCAGCACTGAATGGCTGGTAGGTGGAGTCTGTGAGCTCCGTCATGAAGGCTGCGCAACAGGCACTCTGTTGGCAGGTGGCTTCTCAGATGCTGCAACTGATGAAGGACGGAGATATGTCGGAGATATGTTGGATATGTTGAATCTTTGGATCGGGGCGGCAGATGGATCTACATTATGTCTACATTGCATGTTCTCGGAAAAGGAAGTACGCCGTGACTCATTTTTGACTTGGTGAGTTGAAGGGTTGAAGCGTATCGCCCAAAAAATATCGAAAAGTAATTCATCACCATTCCAGCAGATCTTCTACCATCTTCTACCTTTCTAGTGTTTAAGCTACCCTCTGGTAATTTAACGTAGCTATTGAAAATGATCATTTATAGTGGATTTTCCCATTAAAAATGGTGATTTTCAATAGTTATGCTAGTTTACCAGAGGGTACATCATATAACATCATCTTGGGGTCATTAGGACTCGGACATCAGGGCAGATGTGGTGTGCTACAACTGCCTCATGGGCACCTCGGCGCGATGGAACAGGTGGAACAGGGGGACCCTTCTGGTGATGTCCTCCTTTTTGCTATGGAAGATGGAAACACTTGGAAATCACCATGTTTACCCTCTGGTAAACTGACATAACTATGGAAATTCACCATTTTCAGTGGGTAAATCCACTATAAATGACCATTTTCAATAGCTATGTTAAATTACCAGAGGGTAATAGCTAGATCATCGAACTAAATGGACCATAGTTACCATAGTTATGTTGAAAATGTACAGTGGAAGAACTAGCACATTGATGCACAGTTATTATTGATGAATTGGCTGTTCATTACTAATCGTCACACGCACATGGATATATGATAATTATTGTAAATACCTGCTTTACATAAATCCATCGTTGATTAGCCAGTGCAACTTCTGGAGTTCGCATGGATGTTGCACCATGGAACTTCCCAAGGTCCTCCACCCAGGCGCTTTTGGTGATCTCGGAGCGACGGAAAGGAAACCTTGGGTTCTCCCAAATCCCATGTATCATCACCTTCCCAGTTGACATAGTTAATAGGGCCAATAATTATCAACAAAAATATGTTAATGCTGTTAATGTAATAGGTTTATAGTTGACTCATAGTTAATATTCATAGTTTATCTGAATTGGGGTAGCCTTTTTTCATCAAAACCTCAAGCCTTCAATTGTGGCATCAACCCTTCGTGGCAACTGGCCGGCCGGCAGGCAGTGGCCCTATGTCCTGATGATTTTAGCTGGTTGGGCCCCCAGAAAGGAGGCGTCGTCTCGAACGCCCCACATGAAAACCTCGTCGTTTCAGCCGTTTGGTGGCGGTAGTTTGCAATGAAAGTTGGCAAAGTAGAGACTTCTCCTAGATTTACTGTGTAATTACTTGAGGTGCTTGCAGTTCAGCATGCTGCCCTGATGAAATTGATCTGAGGTTTGCGCGTGTCTCGGCAAAGATTAGAAGGTTTTGTTGAGCTCGTTCAAGGATGGGTAAAGCGTGGGTAAAACAATATTAAACCATCCCCTAAATCACCGTGGTATATATAAACGTATAAAGCATTCCCAAATGGGTGGTTTATGGCATTCTTAGGGACGAAATCTTTTGTGCCAGACATGGATGCACATGGGAACGTAGACCTGAAAAAAAAAGTGTTTGGAAGGAATTACCATAATTCAGGAACACAAGCTGCTGGCAATACATCCTTTACAATTCTGTATCGTGCTTAGCAAACAAGCTAAGATGTGCCTAAAGGACATGCCATGATTTTGGAAACCAAGATCAGGGGTTTGACATGAAAGGTGATTTTTTGGGCTGGTCATGGACCAGTTGAATCCAGTTGATACATATTAGCACCGGGATTCTTCCATGTGTTGGCATCTTGTTCATCAACACCCATCAGCCATCTCTCAATCCACTTGGTCCAAGGTCAAGGCTGTGAGATCCACAGACTACAGTGGCTCAGACTCAGACAGTCGGCACCAGGAGAGAGCACAATGACCTCAAAATCATATATATATATATATACACTGTATATATATATATAAAAACATTGAATTTCATGATAGTTCATGATAGTATAGCACAGTATAGCCTGCTTACTGATTGCACCGATTTGATTGTCACTGCAATCTGGACACTTCATGTGCGGCAGCTCGAAGTAATTAGATGTAATTAGTTCACACGGCAGGATTGGAAGCCATTGCACACACACACATAGATAGATAGATAGATAGATAGATTAGATTAGATTAGATTAGATTAGATAGATAGTTACATGTTTGATCCTTTGCTTCACCGCAGCCAACGCCTCCCAGAACTAGGTCGACCTCAGAAAACCCGTGAATCCATTGGAAATCGCTTAGAAATCCCTTGGAATTCTGTCGGAACCCCCTGAAAAATCGTAAATTCCCAAGGTCTGAGCTCAGCCGTCAGCGCCTTGGAAGCTGCTTCCAACTGGTCTGTGGCGTTGACGTTGATGTGCCGGCAGATGTCGTTGCCAAGCGGGGCAACCCAGAGACCATGCTGGGCTTGGCAAAGGTGGATATGTTGCGGCTATGGTTAGGATTGCACCGACATCTATATTATATATTAATATATGTATATCATATGATTATATATAATATATATATATTATTTATATTATTTATATATGATTGTAGAGGTGGAACATGGTGGAAACATATGTAGTGCCGCTAGAAGGATTGCATTGCGGAAGTCAGTTGATCTCAGCAAGGCTTCAATGCGCTCCTCTCCGGCTGTACCTGGAGGCCGTGGCGTTGATGACCATGCCCAATTCAGGGGTTTGGAAGACAACTTCCCCTAAAATTGGTGATTAGTTGGGCATCTATGTTCATTGGGGGGATGGTAGGATATGCCACAAATCATCATAATATCCCAGGTTTCTGTTGAAAACTGAGGTTAACGATGCAGCTCTTGGATGAATTTCCAACACTGCGAGCAGCTTGCTTGATTTTTGGGAGATGATGTTGGCTGGTTAGTGAGCTTGATCCATCTTGCCGTATGATATGCCATACCAAGGCTACTGGTTTTGGTACTCAGATTTCTGCAAGGCCACTGGCCCTGGTATGTCAAAGACCTTCCAAAACACTGCAAGTGCACAGGGCGGAACATTAGCGGTCATAACTATGGTACCAATCCGCACCGCAAAGGCAGTGACTTTGTCAGTTAATGAGGCGGTGGTCTCATGAACATCATGTTTGTGCTTTCTGTACTAAATTCTCTGATGACGTCCTGAGGCCAAACTGATAACTCTCTGCCGGTGCATTGTGGATGCAACATGTTCCTATGGTTGTCCCTCTGGTAAACTAACATAGCTATTGAAAATGGTGATTTATAGTGGATTTACCCATTAAACATGGTGATTTTCCATAGTTATGTTAGTTTACCAAAGGGTGCCAAAGCCAAGATTGCAATGACGATACAAGCCAACTTTGGGAATCAGCTGAACTTCTCTGTGCGCCGAGGGAATGGTTCCAGATGCCATCAGCTTTGGCACTGCCATTAGCCTCTTGACAGGTCCCACTGGGTTTGTCCAACTGGGTTTGTCCAACTGGGTTTGATGACTCTGGTACTTGAAAATAGTGATGGAACAGGGCCCATTTATGATGATTCAAATTTTCCTACTTGTATCAAAAATAGGTCTTTACCCAACTCGCAAACAGTGAAATTCCTAGGGGTATAAATATATCCACGTGGGTGATATTCATATTTATATATTCATGACATAGAGGAATCATGTACGTGTACCAGGTAGCTCTGGGGATTTTTGGGGCAGCCCCATGTTTCAAAAAAGCCACCGCTCAGCGCTGGCCGAGGTGGAGAAGACTTGCCCTGGGAGAAGGCAATTCAGCTGCACCTTGGGCTGTGATCCATAGCTGGGGTGTGTGTTTTATGGCTGTCATGGTGGTAAAGTCCATAAGTTGGGATATAAGCCCCATACTTGTAATGATAGCCTATGGTTATTACTATTATTACTATTATATAATTAATATTGTCATTATTGTTATATATTGATATTACTAGCGTTATTATTGTTATGTTTTTATTGTCCCACTGCGACGTCAATATAATGATGGTTCGGATTGGGATAGCTATCCATATATGGCCTCATATTAGGTTGAATTACCGTAATTTATCCACATCTAATATATGATTCTTCGATGCTGTATATTTCGATACATTCCCACGAGTTCCCTACAACGATGTGCTGATGGTGGGGCTGTCAGTGGGATTGTTTTGTGTTTCAGGTGCGGCAACTATGCACTGAAAAATGACAGGATGTCGGAACAATTGGCTTTGAGTAAGGTTGGATGCAAGTGAAAGTGTGCTGTCTCATGGTAGGTTGCCAATGGGTCAAAGTTTCCCTTTGATAGATCAGTTTTTTCTCGATGTTCCAACATATCAACAGCCTAGTTTCGACCAAGACCTGCACAACCAGGGTCCAACATTATGCTGTTTGTTTTGTTGGCTCTCAGCTGCCCACAAACTCGCCGAGGAAGAGACAACTCTGGCAGTCTCATCATTCAGTGTCTTGGCGATGTGGAATCCTTGCCTCCTCCCATCAGGATGGTATAGAGATGTCATTTTGTATTTTTGAATGTAGCCATCCGTAAAAACAAAGCGTTCCACCGGCATGGTCGTTTTGGCTTTCCGCTGATAGGCTGCATGATGGCCCAGTCATGGTCAGCCAACATGGCCATCACTTGGGGTACCAAAATCCCCAGGACAGCGTTGCCGCCGCTGCGCTGATGACTTCTATGGCCCAAAGAGTGCAGTGGCGTAGTGCGTTGAGTTGTGTGAGGCACCAACAGTGGGAAACACGGTTGAAAGGCACCAAATGTTCCTAGTAGAATCTTATGCCCTCTGGTTCTTTAACAGGCTGCGAGCTGCGAGCTCGAAACACACAATGTTTGAATATGTTGGATAGGTAAAGCAATGTAAATCATCTGTAAACGGGCTATTTTCCATGGCTAATTATGTTAAAATATGTTAGAATATATTTCGGGTAGAAAGGCTGATAGATGCTAGGCTCAAAAGGCACTCGAGCCGTGTTTTTTTCCCCCCTTTTTGGGTGAGACCAGAAGGGTGCAATTTCAGAGATGACATCCTGCGCTTGTGGCCAAAAGAACGGAAACGAAGAAACGAGTGCAGAAACGGTGCCTTTTTGATTGTGTTGCAAGCAAACAAGGTCGCAACGTAAACAACGTCCAGTGGTGAAATGTGGTGAAGCAGCTTTAAATGATGTTGTTTGGTTTTTTTTTGGGCATTTTCAAAGCACCAGTGAATCCCAAAGCTTCAAACACCTTCGATGGAGGACTGTTCAAGATGGCTACGAGGCCAGGGCGGTGGTGCAACTTTGCTGGCGGAGACAGATGTGCAGCGTTGAGACAAAAACCATTGACTTGATGCACACTACTCGTAGCACTCCAAGATATTCAAATTTATTGTATATATCATATCCTTATGAATATTGTACATATATATATATAATTAATTATGTACATATATATATATGTATATGTATATGTATATATGTATATATGTATATATGTAAATATGTATATATGTATATATGTATATGTGGCTAGGGGATGATTTCGGACCTCCCCTTTTCAACATTTTTATATAACCATAACTTCAATACTAAAAAAGTCATGAGTCTTCTAGCATGCAGATTGAAGCAGTCAGGACACAGTTTTGACCTTGGTGCGGCGCAGACATTGCTTAGTGTTAAAGCATCCAACATATTTTGTCTCATGTCTGCATTCATGCAACTGATTGCAATTGTTTCTGCATTGATACTCTGTTGCATACACGCTTAACGGAAATTATCTCAGTAGTTCTCTCTGCTGCATTCTTCTATAGATTTGCTATAGGTGTCGCCAGAGCTTGCGTGTGTATGTCCTGCCCTATGGTCAGCAATGGCGACCTACAAGAGCATGGAAGACTTCCAGAAGAAGTTTTGCTTGACCCGCATCCAGTCGAGAACAGCATTTCTACATCATGTCAAGTGGGCTTCTTTGGAAAGAACTGATCCCTACCCCAACCACACATCCTTGAAGGGGATTCTGTTCGCCATGCATGCAGATCTCTTGCCTCAAGATTACACGTGTGAAGTGTGTGCTGGCTCTTTTCGTCTTAGACTTCGACTTGGGCAAGATCGACAGTCATGGGATTGGGTCTCAACGAAGAAAAGTTGTCACCAGTGTACCAACACGTCACGATCTTTGACATCAGGAACAATCCTTCAAGGTGTTAAGGCAAAACATTTCTTGACCTTCTTTGACTGCATGTGTATGTGGAGCTTCGATTACCCTTCCTGGATTATTATTCGGGAAGCAGGTATTTGGCACCAACAGCTGAACCAATGGGAAGAAGTTTTTCATCAAGCAGTCAAAGCAGATCTTTGGCATCATGCTACTTCCTATAGTATCACTTCCACACCTTTGAAGTCAGCAAACCAAGTTCGGAAGCTTCCACCGAAGAAGGTCTTGAGCAAGAAGCCAGCAAGACAAGTTTGGAAGACTCCGATGAAGAAGCAGCATGCCATCAAAAAGCTTTCCTCCAAAGTCCACGCACCATGCAAACGACCTGCTACATGCAGCAAGTTCCATCCTCAGTCACAAAAGTTCCTGATGCTATGTCCTTCTACAAGAAGTACAAGTATGTTGTCGAAGTTGATGAGTCTCACTTGAACAAGTTGCGGAGTGGTGCCCTTAGCAAAAGTTCCCGTGCAGGACCTGATCAAGTCTGGGTCTGGGGCGCTACTGTACCCCGCAGGCCAGATCGTTTCCTCTTTCGTGTTTTGGAGCACCCGCAGGATGCAATGGATGGCAAACCTCGGGGCCAAGCTGAGATTCTTGATTGTCTTCGCCTTCTCAATTTGCAACCCAAAACTATCATAGTCACTGATGGCTGGACAGCGACCATAGCGGCTGTGCAACAATTGAAGCAAGAGAAAGGCTGGGACGACGCAGATCTTTGGCATGAGATTGTCAACCATAGCGCCGGTGAAATTACCAACGTCAATGGATTTACAACAAATCATATTGAGAATCGTTGGTCGCTTGTAAAAAGATGGATTCGTAAGCGTGAGGGCGGTCGGCTCCCCTCACATAATGACCGACAAAAATGGAGACGTCTTTTGAATGAATACCATTGGCGTAGAATCCATGCCAGGAATGCACATGGCAGAAATGTGTATGTAGTGCCGTTGACCACCACAATTCAGGCAATGCAGCGCTTACAGTAGAACTAGCCCGACAGCCACGTAAGCTTCGAAAAAACAAACAAACTTATACATGTTAGTTTGCTTCGTCTGCTTTTCATGTACTCATGTCTGCTTCACACACAATGTAATCTCAAACCATACATGTTGAACCATACATGTTGAGCCATGTCTGCGTGTCAAGATTGGTTGTTCTTGTGATAGCTTTGTATGGCTGCATTCTGAATGCGTATTGCAGGCATTATCCCATTGACAGTACCTGCATCATCTTTTAGACGGGAGAAGTGCTAGCCCATGCTGAAGTCTCCGCGCATGCAGCTTGCCGTGGAAGCCTATGTCAATGAGCGGCAGCACATCACGTTGGAACTTGTGGGCAACATGCCTGGAAGCAAACCAGCAGAACCAGCATCTTCTCAGCCTCCGATGCTGCTGAAATCCTTGATAACATTCGTCGTGGAGTTGTGGCTGTGCATGCTGACAGGGCAGAGGTCACCAAGAAGCAACTTCAAGTTCAGATGAACACCATCAGGCGCAATGCTGTGAACCATGGTACACTTGCGCAAAATGTTGCTTAGTCCACCGGCTGCGATGCTGCATTGATGGCTTGGCTGCAAAGCAAAAAAGATGGGCGTGCGCGTGCGTCATCCTCATCCCAAGGTGTGGTTTCAATGCTTGCCTTGCCTCCACCAGAGATGCCCACGGTTCCAATGCTTGCCCTGCCTCCACCAGAGATGCCTATTGATGATGATCGCTCGGTGCCTCCACCAGAGATGCGCATTGATGATGATCGCTCTGTGCCTCCAGATGAAGGTTCCAAAGATCAAGGCTGTGGTGATGGCTCTAGCTCAAGTTCTTCATCTTCATCCTCATCCATGTCTGTGAGTACATCCGGGGCCAGAGCACCACTGACAAAGGATGAGCGAACCCTTCTTGAAGAACTGATCGAAGCTGTGAAAGTCCATCAAGAGATTGAGGTAGAAAATGAAAGACTTCACCAAGAAATTCGTCAGTTGAAGGCCGGACTTGCTCTGTACAAAAACATGTCGGCATGAAGGCATGAAGCGCACAGGCTGTCTTGGAAAAAACAACTAAGAATCACTGCCGGCATGGTGGGCCGAAACCATCGCGGAACCGTATATGTATATGTATATGTATATGCATATGTATATGCAAGTTTGTATGCAAATGTATCCAGCTGGCCAGCTGAGCTCATGGTGAGTTAAACTGCAGGGCCCATCTCTGAGGCTGCCTTGATCAGTGCCTGTCACTGGCAGACTTCGCTCTTCCTTCTTCAAAGTCCCTCAGGTTTAACGTTAGCCCAGTATTTGCAAAGCCCCACTTTACTCAATTTATCTCAATTTACTAACATGGGTGGTATCTACTATATATATATAATATAAGTATTATCTAACGGCTTGATTGGAACTAACCAGTTTGGGGACAACCCCCCGGCTACGAGTAAACTGAAGCTTGATGAATCCTGGGTCAACATTGGACGTGTCACGGGTGAAGGCTGACATGTTTCACGACTTGTGGGTTGGTGCTTCTACAAGGACCTGATATTTGGTGACCTTTCACCCGAGTGTGAGTGTTTTTGATGTTTAAATCTATTACACGCATGTATATCTAAAGTTTGCATTACCACTTGGTGAATGACAGCACGTAGATGCTGCTCAAACAAGCAAAATAACCGTGTTCCTTTTCCATGATTGAATGGTGTGTCCTTGACAATGGGCCTGGGAATCGGAACATGCTATCCCTTCTATCATACTCTGTTTGACATTACATTGTAGAGGCCTGGTTTGCGCACCAACAGGTCTTGATGATACATGTACAGTATATTCTCAAAATTTGGGCACCCCAAAGCAATCCAACATTGGTTGAAACATGTTGAAACCAACGGAGTGTGATCACAGGGCTACCCATGGGGTACCCCAGTGACCGGTTTCCTCCAAGGCTTGCCAAGTCCTTTGATCAACGACATCACCTTCACTGCTGCCATCACTGCGTGTGACTTGCCATGCGAATCGGAGATGTTTGGAGTAAAACCTCTGGAGTTGTTGGAAAGATATGGGGCAACTCCAAAATACTCCAAAACCAAGTAAAGATAGAAAAGTAGAATATCCAACCTTGTGCTAATACAATCAAAGCGGTAAAATATTCTTTGGTTATTCGGGTTACTGTAACCTTGCGACCGCTGTATGCTGGCTGTTTGGCCGAGACATGCATTCAACTTCTGAGAATTGCCCAGAAGAAACAGTCTATTCATGCAATACTTTACACGAGGTCATGCTATATAGGCCAACTGTGAGGTCTTCAATGTCGTGTCAGAAGAATCCACATCACTGGTACCTGCTCACCAGACTCCAACGAGAGTCACGTCATGTCTTCACCCAGTGCCAATTAAATAGATCTAAAACATATCTATTATCTAAAAATATTTCATACATTCAAACATATAAACACACACACGCACACACACATATATATATACACACTCCACTTGATTGGAGAGGAAGCAACTTAGGAGAGAGAAGGTTCCACCATAACCATGACTTGCAAATCTGTTGGAGGGCCGTAGCCAGGTGAGAAATCCCTCACTGGGCGACTGCGATCGGCGTGGCAGTGAGAGCATCACCGGAAACCATGGAGTTCACCCTGAAATATGCCCGTGGTAAAGAAGTCATCACCAGAACAGCACCTTTCAGGTTGCAATTTGCACTGCCTTCCCTGTGTCATTTGACCACCGCTGGTTCCATCAGCTGGCATTGGGGGTCCGAAATTTCAGGGCTGTGTGCCCAGTTGCGGGTTGGTGTTGGCCAAAAAGGGACCATGATGAGGCCATTGCAGCTCAAGATAGGGTGCGTGGACCTGCTCTAGATCGCTGAAGATGGGGGACTTGCCATTTCAGATGCATCCCTTTGCGTAGTTCCGCAAAGTCATTGAGATGTGAAATGCTCAGAGAATCGCAAAACTATAACCTGGAGACATGAAGGACATGTTCCGAAACTCGCCGCCTTTGCACTGTGCGCAGGGAAGTGTGTATTCGATTGGCATGGTTGTACTCGTAGGTGGGTGGGTATAGGTGGATGAACCTACTTATTGGAGACACGCTATACAGAAAGACATAGAAAGACATTGCCATGAGAATTTTGGCTCTCACGATCAGCAACTGCTGCCCTCGGTTGGCAGCCGCTGGTTGCTGGACCAATGGCTGGGGCGCGGCATGGTGTAGTTCTCATGCCCAGTCAAGGTGACGGCTTTTGTGAGTGCGAAGACGTAGAGCCGGCATAATTGCAATCATGTAAAGTTTGGGAACGTGTGGGCATGCTTGGGGAATGTTTGGGCATGCTTGGGCATGCTTGGGCATTTGGTTCGTGTCATGTTGTGCCACTTTCCCAAGTAGTTGGCTTTCTGGTTGATGGCATAATGTGGTCAAAGCTCTTTTGTTGCCACGTGCCAGTCCTGCTTTAACGATGGCCCTCGTCGTGAGCGACAAGGATATCACTATGTGGGTCACGGACATGGCTCGTTCAGTCAGGTGCTGTACACATCTGTACACTGTACCCCTGGTTTTTTACTGTCTTGTCCAGGCAGAAAAAGAATGCACACTACCTGGGGTTTTCGAAAAAAGGACCGATGATTTCAAAAAGGATAGAAATAGATCCCCCTTCCTATTTTCACCTGTGCCGGTTGTGCCCTGTTGGGGAATGAATGCACTTTCCCAAATACGGTTTTGGCGAAAGCAACTGGGCCACCACTTGTGATAGAGACTGTCAAGTGTGCTAATTATACTATATAAACATTACTAAACTACCACAACAAATGATCAGGCTCCATATATGCGTCATGTATTGGCTGTCCAACTGAGGCAATGTCACTTCGAGACCTGTTTTCCGTATTTGGAGTTATTCCTATATATCACTTAATCTTTGAGTTGTTACATTCATCAGATTCGTCAGCGCCAGCTGCCCGATAGGTGAACGAAATGGAATTCGTGGGCCGTGGCCGCGGCAACTATGAAAAGCAACACAGGACCTTGGTCCAAGGCTATCAATGCAGGTGCCAGCAGAAAGGGCGGTTGGTTTGGTTTAATTCTTGTTTCTGGGGAGCTAGATTGGCAGTGTCATTCGGCAAGATGGACTTTGGTGTTTTCAGATGATGAGGGCTCTATGACCCCCGTCCGGGGTACCTAAATAGAATGGGGGGGCTGAAGCCCCTTTTAAAATAAAAAAATAAAAATAAAATGAAAATAAAATGGGTCAGACCCCTGCATTTTATTTTGTGGGTGCATTTTATTTTTTGAGGTGCCTAACCCATCAAGTTAACCGACAGAGATAGCATCATAGCAAAGATGCACAACTGTGAACGGCCTGATCATTTTGTGAAACGTTCCAGCGGATTCACGAACGCTAATAAAATGATAACGAAAACGATAACTTTTGGCATCAAAAATGGTTCGTGTGAGACACTGTTTTTTTTTCCCCTTTCCTCTCCCTACCCTTTCCTTTTTCCTGTCTCTTCCTTTTCCTTCTCCTTTCCTTTTTCCTCTCCTTTTTCCTTTCCTTTTTCCTTTCCTTTTTCCTTTCCTTTTTCGTTTCCTTTTCCATTATTTGGACATTAACTTCGAAAATGGGTTGGCCCCCCTCATTTTCTATTGCCTTCCTTGGTCAACAAAAGACACACGGGCAGCTTACAGCAGCCAATGAGATTTCTTAAGTTTATTTATAGTTATTTGTATCTTTTCTAGAAACCGTCCAGATGTCAGAAGTGGAACCAATTATATATAAACAAAACTAAAAAAGATCAACCAATCAAATAAGGAAACAATGTAAAGGACTAAACAAGACTAAACAAGACTAAACATGGTTAAAACCAATCAAATAAGGAAACGATGTAAAGGACTAAACAAGACTAAACATGGTTAAAACCAATCAAATAAGGAAACAATGTAAAGGACTAAACAAGACTAAACAAGACTAAACATGGTTAAAACCAATCAAATAAGGAAACAATGTAAAGGACTAAACAAGACTAAACAAGACTAAACATGGTTAAAACCAATCAAAGAAGGAAACAAGACAAAACAAGATCAACCCAAAAGAAAATGCCGGAGCCCGAGGTCCAACAGTTGCATAACGTAGGTCCACCAGTGGCCAGGTGGAGGGTGCCGACGTCATTTTCTTTTTGTACCTGTCCATTGTATTTTGCTTGGGTTTTCCTATCTTACCTTATGCCCTCTCATTTTATTGGCATTTTCTCCTTAGGCCCCTGCATTTTATTTTATTTTTTTAGGTGCCTCACCCCCCCCTTGGCAACAGACGAGGGTCTCTATGTGCGATTATTTCCCGGCACATGATCCAAATAGTGGGGGAACATGGTGTTGGCACATGTTGGCACAGCAGGCCGCAGTGTGTGGCGATCGCGAGCGGCGCACTGCTGGTGGCAACATAGCTTATCGGTAGGTGTCATGGGCTAAAATGGAAAGAATCACGGGGATATACTGATATACTGGGATTTCGTTTCTTCAAATTAAATGTAAACATTGCATGGATTACCCATGTGCTTCAAAATTCAGACTTTGCCCACTGATGCAGTCTCCACCCGTAGCGGCTGTGAAATCCCAGCGATACCTGCCTGATGCATTTCCAATCGACTCGTTGCCCATGTTTGCCTATAAAACCTGGTGATAATCACTATGGCTTCAGCATGCTTCAGCGGGTTTTTCAGGGATCCAATGATAATCACTATGGCATCTATGGCTTCAGCAGGTTCACGGATCCAATGAGGCCACCATTTTCATCATCGCCGCCATCCTTCACGCACAGAACGCCCAGAACGCAGCTGCTGATGATGCTACGCCAGGGATCTTCAGACACCCTGGGATCCGTGTCTTATGGCGCTGGTTTTCTGACACATGGGTAGCTTCAAGGGGGAGCATTTCTCTAATTCTTTCGTTATCTTGCGTTTCTGCGGTGGGGTCCAAACGGTGCCCGTAGATTTGCATAAAAAGAACCTGAAAATGGCCATGTTTCATACGTAAATCATCTACGGATCATGTTCCAAAGGGTGGAGCTCATTTGTGCAACTTTTGCTCGGCTTCGAAACCCAGGAACGTCCGCGGCACGGGTGCCTATGATTGCAATCTCGGCTTCGAGCATTGGCGTGAAGCATGGACCCTGAGACATCAGCGATGGTGCTGCCCCTTGTCCTGGCCCGCAACGGGATCCCCGTTGCGCCCGTTGGGATCCCCATTGCTGTACCCATAGGATCCATGTATGCTATATATGATTACAGTATATATGGTAACATTTACCATCAATATACCCCAAATGTTAGCATATATACCATACATGGATCCATATGGGGTAGCCCATGGGGTTCCCTGGCAGTTGAGGCTTTTCGGAAAACAAAGCCTGCGCGGAAAAGATCGTCCATCACGACCACTACATCCAGGTGATCCGACATGGTGATGCGATGCATGGCCACTTCAGTCATAGCTTCTTGGCCGTATCCGAACTATAACTCGCTGGGAACACTCGTTGTGCACGGTGGAGCAGTGTTTAAAAAATAGCATTGACATTGTTGGTTGATGATTATATTGCGATATAGATTTGTGCATATTGGATACCCAATTTAATCCAATTTCTTGAGTTTAACCAGGTTTTTACTTCCTGGATGTTTATGGATACAATTGGATACATTTTGGAAATCCATAAAAACCCACGGGTTTTGAACGTTGCTCAGGTGGGGCAGGTTGATGTTTTTCTTGGCTTGCCATTAACCAGCCACGGGCGGGGGTCATGATAGACACGATCCCAAATACGGTATACCGATCAAATACATTGACTAACAATGTATATAATATATTGTGTATAATCATACAACCTATAGCTTATTACTCATATGGCACTTCTGAAATCTGCATGTCCTGTCTCACGACTTGTGCTCTCGTGAGATCATGTTATTTTCTCCTGATGTTGCACTAAGCGTGTTTCAAGGTCTCTACGTTTGAAGCGCGCTATTGACTAAGGGATTGCGGCAAGCTATGATCCAGAAGCTGATAACCAGCAACTGGGCTAGCATTCGAAAGCATATTGCAACACTTGGGAAGTGATGACCCACTGCTTTTTCACATGGAGAACCCATTCAGAGTTCTTGGACCATTTCAAGGCTCTACGAGACTAGGTGGCACTAGGTGGGTATTGGTTCCTATTCATCCTGGAATAGCTCGGCTAGAATTGACAGGGCGTCCTTGCAAGAAACAATCGTCACAACATGTCACAACCGTAACTTGGACCCAGCTGTGCTACCCAGGATCTATGACTGCACCATGGGAATCCCCAGCTGGCAGAGTCTTTGGTCACAGTCCAAGAAGGTTTGGTGCCTTGCTCGGTGCTGTATACGGTCACTGTGGAGTTTCGTCGCTGCAAATGCAAGAAACTGGGGAAATCCTGTATAAATGGAGTTTTCAACCGGAGAATCATTTGTAATCAGTGATTTTCTATATTGCCATGTTTGATTGCCGGAGGGTACTTACACATCTTATCACATGTTCGACCCATCTCCCAACAAAAATCCCCTTGGAGTGACGTTTTGTTCCCATCTTCAGAGAAACTTTGATCGTTTTGTCCAAGGTGTTGCGATCATAGCCATGGGGAGGTGATGCTGCCATTAAGGTTGGGGAAACCCCCGTGGAACCCGATGAAACGACGTGGACATGGTGATTGATTACACTGTTACACTCCTCAAGAAAGACATAGAAAGACATGTTTGCAGGGCAACAGCTCATGTTTAAATGATAAGACCTCACCGCAGCTTGCACCAACTTCAAGATGCTCGAGTGCCCTCGCATTTCCCAAGCAAGTCACCATTGGTAAGTAGTTTCGCTATGTTTTGTCGCTTCGTTTGGGGGGGATCATGCCTTTTGGTCACGAAGGAGCTATTGCTGCACTTCTCTCCACATTGGTTGCCAAGATGGCTACCACAGGCCTGAGTGTGAGCATCGTAGGTCTTTTTCGTTGGGAATGAAGCCGACAGCGTTTGCCCTTTCCAAGCGTGTCAAAAAAAGGCAGATTCGAACTTGATCGGATATCCAAAGCGTCAGCCTTGCAGCAACAACGGTTGTCACAGTCTTGAGTTCTGTGTTCATTGGTATGTTGAATATCACTGGATACCCCTTCTTCAGCCCGAACGGTCCAGGAAGTCTCTCGACTGAGAACCCACGGGGTTGCCTAATCGGGCTGACCTCTACATGCATTGTACCGCTACGGCGCTACGGCTAATGTTCGCAGGATGGGTTTGAATAGAACATAATACAGCAGAAGTTATGCCGAATTCCAGCATTGTTGCCATTAGAATCCATTTGATCTTTACGGCTGCTGAATTTCTGCCATTGGATTTCTGCTGCTGAATTTGCACTACACAACATACTTGTATGCTGCATGTTTCAATTGATTAGAGTCACTTAGCCCTTCCTGGAGCGGTGTTAGCAAGTCACAAGAAGTCATTAATGGCCCTGCACTGCACTGCGCCTAACAGTTGTAAATGCGGGTGACCAAAGATTGTCACCTGTGTCTTCCACAGCTGGGAAACTGGGCAAGTGATGGCCACAGGTGCTGCGATTGGAGGGCCAGGAAGTGTTTCAGATGGCAAACTTGTACAAGTTATTTGTGATTAGAAGGGCAGGGAAAATCACTCCAACTCCATCACCTAATATCTCAAAGGTGGGAACAGACTGAATAGCCCAGTGCGAAGGGAAGGTTGGTACCTTTCTGCATCGCGGTGGTCGCCTGGGCAAATCATGCTCCGGGCTGGCAAAAGTGGCCAGGCTGGAGAAGGCCGGTGACCTTTCAGAAGAGTGGAGGTTCAGTGCTAAATGGATTTAAATGGCCCAGGCAAAATGGCATTGCAGCTCACTATGAGATTATACCGCAAGTATCTATGTCATTTGAGCCCACCAATATGGAATGGCCAAGCTCTTTGCGAGGAAAGCATTGTGACAGGAGTTTTTTTTGGAGTGTTTGGACTCTGGTATTGGCTGCTGAAAGCACACCGTGACATTCTTGATGAGTTCCTGAGCATCTCAGTGAAGATTTGTGCAGCCTTTTCCGGCTAAAGTGCCGTATCAAACACCTTGCGAAGCCCGTGGAAGGGCAACGGGAACAGGGAACGATGGTGGTCGAGGCAGCCGCGAGTGATGCAGCTGTGGTCACTGGTTCAAGGGCAACTTGGCGTCACAGTGGGCGGGTCGGTATTTTGTAAATTAATATTGAAGAATATTGAACAGTACTTATCATTAATTATTATTTATTAAATATAACATAGATTAAATTTGAATAGTAATAACAGATTATTATTAGATTACTATTAATTATACAATTAACATATATTATTAGATTATTATTCTTATTAGATTATTAGATTGAATGTATCATCATCCGCAACCATTGTTCACGCCCCGATCTTGGGACATCATTCCGCAAGGCGTTGTCACATGTGGCCGCCCTCACTTCCATGCACTGGGGAAGTTTCTCGATTCTAAGAGGTAGGATGGCCATGCCAGACCCTTGAAAGGGGTCATTCCATGTATCAAACATTTGGATGATAATCCATTGGATTGGTTTAAGGGAAATTTTACAGGAAACCATGGTTTTTACCATCAAATATAGGGGTTTCCGGTTAAAATTTTCCCATCATCCAATTCTATGAATCATCCATTGGATAGGGATCTAACAATCCAGCTTTGGGGCTTCAAAGCCCTCCATCCCGGTTAGTTTTGCTGAGGTTGGCCCGCCCATGATGTCTGGAACGAAAGTGACAGCCTCTGGCACCTTGGACTTCAGAAATTTGCGGCGCAAAGTGGGGAAGGTTGGCACCCACCTGATATATCCTAACATAATATGATACAATAGCTGTCCCTCATTGAATCAAGATTCATGAGCATGTGACTTATTTGACATAAATTCTTGTCGCGATGAGTGATGATAGCGGGGTAGAGAGAGAGAGAGAGAGATTGAGAGACATGTAATTGCACTCCACCATAAACCCTATGTAAACTAGCACATGTACGACAGCTGATGCGGCTCGAGTAAAAGGAGTTTGGGCCGCAGGTGCTTAACGGTTATTTCCCATTGTTCTAGGTTTATCAGTCTATTTGGGTATAACATAGTTTACCCCGCTGAAACCTGAAAATACAGGTTATCAGCCGTAGTCTCTAAAGCCATGGACAAAACACACGACGCTACAGGTGGTGGTGCTCTTGTGCCTGCAACAGGAACAGTGGCGGCTGCATCAACTGGGTCTCAGCCTATAACGGCTGGGGCAACTCCCACGCCCATGTCGGTAGACGAAGGTTTCTTCACACAACCCGTCCAGGCGTATTTTCAGTTCGTGCAGAACAATCTTACCTATATCAATGAAGGTAACATTGACGCTTTCAGACAAGAGGCAGAAGAGAGACACACGCATCTCATGGAACAAAAGGTCCAGCAACTGTACCAAGAGTTTGAGGGAATTTGCCTTAGTGAAATCGCCCATCAACGTGCAGAAGCTGATCGTAGACATGAACACCTAGTGTCAGAGTATTCAATGTCCCAAACGGCAACTGAGCATGAGGTCGCAAAACTGAGACAGGAACTTAGCGATGCAAACGCAAAGCTGAAGAACGCTGCAAATGCAGTTGCACTGGAAGCTGAGCAAAGAGCAAACCAAAAGGTAGCCCATGTTACAGCCCAGTACGAACAAAGGTTTTCTGAACTCAGAGGTAGCCTCGAGGCAGACTGTAAACGAATCGTGGACGAAACAGTGGAGTATGCAAAGAATGGCATGGAAGGTTTCAAGAAGGAGGAACAAGCTGTAATCCAGGAGATTAGAGAGGAATGCAGTAGGCAGGAAAACCAAGCTGCTGAACTCAACTATCAACTGCAGGGACAAGTGGAGGATTTGATGGAGAAGCTCAACAAGTATAGCGCCCCCGAAATCAAGGTCGACAGAGCCGCCGAAGTTGATGATGCACAAGGCGGGAACAATGTCGATCTGTACCTGACCCCAAAATCAGCGGTCGGTACCAAGGCTGGAGCAGAACCCATGCCAAACACGGGTATGAGCAGCTTAGCCATGGACGCTAAAGAAAGATTGAGCAACTTATTCTCAACAACCCCTGCCGGATCAGCAGCGCCTCCAAAACTGCCACCATTGCCAGTTCAAAGACAAAACGATGATGATGCAAACCAAGAACAAAGTGTGCCCAGTCCTACAGCAATAGCAAGCGAAACCGGCAAGAAAGCTGCTGATGCAGGCTTAGGTCTTTCAGGTCAACAATTGCTAGATCTCATCACTAGACTGACTTCAAAGGATTCAGATGGTGAAAAGCCCCGAACAAAAGAGGCAGAGACTATCAAACTGAACGACATGCCTGCCCCAGAAGCGTATCCTCACTGGCGTAATCATGTCAGGGATGAAGTCAAGTCGTGCTCCGACAAACCCGATGAGGCTTGGCTTTGGCTCAATGAAGTCTTTGACAACAAAACTCCTAGGGAAAAGTTGGAGGAAAAGCTGCAGGAACCTGGGAAGTTCATCACACTTGACACCAAATTGTCGGCAGCGTTAACTCGCTCGGCCAAAGGTGATTTAGCAACGAAGATCCACAACTTCAAAGATGAGAAGTCAAAGAAAGGGATCCAAGTTAGAGGTAGGAGAGTCCTTTTGATGTTTGAAGACTACTTCAGGACGTCTGAGGAAGCTGGCAGTCTCTATCGCGTGGAGGACCTACTTGGAGTCGTTCGCACTGGAGAAACCGTGGAGGACCTTAGAAGGTTTCTGAACCGATGGGACGCCACAATTGCCGGCATGGAAACCCCGCCAGATGACTTGGTTCTCAGAGACATCTTACTTAGACAAATCCGAAAATGCCAATTGATGAAGTATGACATTGAAGCATTTGACAGAGCTCCTGAAAAGTCGGAACAGAAGTCTTATGCATTTTTATTGAGAAACATTCGTGATCTTTTGGATAGAGAAAGACTCCGTTCAAACAGAAACAGAATCGTTGAAAAGAACAAACAGACCGAAAAGCCTCAGCCCGCTGCACCCGCTCAGGGGGGCAAAGATCGCGGCAAAGGAAAAGGTGATCGAGGTCGATCCCGTGGTCGAAGCCAGAGTGGAAAAGGGGATAAGATATGTTACAAGTTCAGGGATGGCAAGTGCGAAAAGGGTAAAGACTGTCCCTACAAGCATGTCAAGGATTCCTCAAGATCTGGCACTCCCAAGAAGAAGGGTAAGGGCAAAGGCGGTAGCAGAAGTGGTTCCCCTAACCGAAAGTCAAGGGAGGAGATGGCCAAAATCCCATGCACTTACTTCCAACAGGGCAAGTGTCGTCGTGGTGACAAATGTTTCTACAAACATGAAGTTGCAGCTGGACCCACAAAGGATCCAAAGCGCACTAATAGCCCTGCACCAAAGAAGAAGGCCAGTGCAAAAGCTGCGCCATGCATTACTCAAAGGTATGCATTGTGAAGTGCGTTGGCTTCTTTATTTGCCATTTCTGTAAAATCCGGAAACTATTTCTTGCACAGGTAGAAACCATTTGCTAAATTCTAGAAACTATTTCCTAAATATTCCTACATTCCAGAAACTATTTCCTAAATATTCCTACATTCTAGAAACTATTTCCTAAATATTCCTAAAATCTAGAAACTATTTCCTAAATATTTCTCAAATCTAGAAACTATTTCCTAAATATTTCTAAAATCTAGAAACTATTTCCTAAATATTCCTAAAATCTAGAAACTATTTCCTAAATATTCTTAATTCAACAAACGATTTCCTAAATATTCCTAAATTCTAGACACTATGTCCTAAATATTCTTAAGTTCTCCTAGACATTCCTGAAAATTTCTAGAAACCATTTGCTAAATTCTGGAAACCGTCTCTTAAATAGTGTAATCCATTTGCTAGATACTAGAAACCATTTGCTAAATACAAGAAGCCACGCACTAAATAAGTATATAGCATATGTAGAAACCTGTTGTCACGTAAAGTAGACCATCTAGAAACAAATTATTAAATCATGTTGGTTTACCAGTAGCCGTAGCCATTTCTTAAATGAATGTCTAGTAAGTATTGGCAAGTCAGGCTGGTTTTTCACCATGTTAGCACGGGCAAGCAAACCTACTCAACCTTGGAACACGCATGTGCTAATTCATGGTTACTCAGGGTGGTGATATAACCAATCTCCTTACCCCACATGCTGCATGCCAATTGAATAGTGGATCCCATAACTTATGGATATCATTTGTGGAAGTATTTGCAGTGTTGTATGGCGCAGTTGGCACACGATGCATGTGGCATGTAATATGCCATGGCTGTTTTCATTGCTATTTGGTACACTCTTCCTCTGATTAAAGCAACACTACTACTGGTATGGGGTGATAATATTTTTTCAAATGTGGCAAACCATGGGTGACAGAGGCGCTTGTACAGAATGTTTGACTTTAACTAACCGACTTTGCTGGTTCAAACAGATGTGTGGCTGAGTGCGCCCTGACAGTGGGAGCATGCCACCAAGTCAGAGTTCTTGTGAGACAGCGTCGCCATGCCGTCCTTGCACTTGGTTTACTGGAAATTGCTGAGCAATCTTCTGAAGAGACCGAGTTTCTGCGATGCAATGGGGTGGTTTCAGATTAGCTGCTGAGACTTCTGCTGGGTGAAGCACATTTTTCTTGGGGCGTACTAGCTTCATCACTTGATGTTATGTTATTTTTGGGTCCTTTCCATGTCCTGCCCACAAGAGAAAAAATGGGTGACCAAATCAAGATGAGCTAAAAAAAACTGTATCGTACCAATGTCTAGCTTAGATTCTGTGTTGTCATCCCGACCTGCAGATACATTCTCATTCGTTTTGAGGCCGCCTCTACCATCACCCAGTGGAGTTCCAGAAAGCTCCAACTGGGCCAAGGGCTATGTGGACAAGTTGGGGCTGGTTCATTTGGCAGACTCCTGCCGTCTGGCGGGTGTTCAGCGGCCTGCTTCAAAAGTCAAACCAAACATCACCAAAACCACCAGGGGTGACATGACATATGGACCACCGAAATCAGAATTCACCAAGGCCAAGTACTAGTCAACATGATATTTTCTGCGGGTTTTGATTTTCCATTCCAGCTGGCATTGTGGCCTCTTGTTTTCAAGTTGCCGCAAGTAGATAGTTCACAATCCAAGGGTGAAGATTGCAGAAGGATGCGCTGGGGCAGCGGCTGGCACTTATGCTTTGAAACTTGTCAAGCATTTGAACAATCACGAGTCACTAGTCCTAGTCCTTTTCACCTGCGGTCTGTGTCTAGGAGTAGGGGGAGGGTTAAGTAAAATGAAAAGAGTGCAGAAAGCAAACACTGAAACCAAAAAAACATATTGAGTGATCTTGACCGCTAAACAGTTTTCCACAAATTAAATTCATTGCGGGTTTGGACAGCTGTTTGAATTGGCGCTCTTCTGTTTTCAAGTTTTCAAATCCCAATGCATCTCCAAGATCATCCAGATAAATCCACCCATCATGGATCCCACATGTGAGTTGTTTGCATGTTGATACTGATGCATTGATGCTGACTGATTTTCAGGAAAGCTTTGGCAGAGGAGTTTGGCTTTGAGCCTGTGACGACCAGTGTGAGTGAACCGGTTTCCTGGAAACAGAACTTCATGTTCGACAACCACCCCAGGACCAGTCCCTTGGTTGAGCTTTTTAGGCAGGGTTGAACTGAGGTATGGTTTTCAGAATCCCGAAACCAAAGTGTAAAGTGCCAAGGCGCAATGTTTCAGCAACGAAAGTTCAAAGTTTATGATTTTTCCCCTTTGGAAATCACATGCAGAGGGGTTACATTCCAGCCTTTGCACAGGCCCCAATCGATTTCATGCTCTATGGCCGAATGGACGACGGTGAGCCTTTCAGATTGTGCTTGATTCCTGGATACTCAGTCTCAGTGGAAAAGCTAGAGCTGCTTGCCAGCATGATGTCGCATTTACTTCTTGCTGCTGTTGTCCTCAGCTTGAAGGTGAAGCATTTTACACAGAACAGATCAGAACTATAGACTATAGTCATAGGCTAGGAGTGGCTTTTCTTATGTTCATGGTTTTATTGGAGATCAAAATTATGGGTGCGTGATCTCTCAACATGGGGCGACCTTTTTGGGATCCCATTGCAAGCTATGCACCAATGTTGCCAATGTTTAAATTGTATCATGTTACAGTTCTGGTGCTGTTTTCATGCAGCAGTCATCAAGAAACATCACCCGTTTTGGGGCCACGGTTATTCTAGTGTTCTCACCCAGGCATGGAAATGGTCCTGTACATATTTCATGACGTTACAAACATGCTGAAAAAATTGAATTTCTGAATCATGATTTTACTCAGTCAATTTTTGGAGGTCATTCACTTGTTGTTGGTCCCCTTGGCATACATTCTGTCAGTACATACATTCTACCAGTGCTAATTGGCAAGCTTTTCCCCACACATGGTTTCACTTTCCCTTTGCGAAGCTGAGTTCTGTGATGTTCCACATGGCGCAATCTCGCAAGCGGGTCTACATTATTATGGTCCGTGGCGACCTTTGCAATGCAGCCTTTGCTGGTGAGTTGGAGATGTTGTGATCTAGTTGAAACCCAAGTCCGGGAGACGCTGTCCCAAGTCCGAACCTACAACTCAAAGGTTTTGGCCGCTTTGCAAAGGGAGCCGGCTCTTCCCCCCAAGAGTCAGGACTGGTGTCGGTGATTTTCGGGATCTGTCCGGGGAGCCATTTTCTCAAGCCTGTAACCCCCCTAAATTGTAAATATGAAAGGAAACTATTTCTTAAATTAAGACCCAATCCCAGAAACTATTTCTTAAATGGGGCCCCAAGCCCAGAAACTATTTCTTAAACGGGGCCCCAAACCCAGAAACTATTTCTTAAACGAGTCCCAGGATGGTGCCCAACCAATGGAGGTCCAGAAGACCATCCGTTCCATGAAAAAGGAGCTAGGCCTGGAACCTTTTGGCGACTTGAAGCCATACAGCCGAACAGAGTGCCCACCACAAGTGAGCCATGCCCTCAATAAAAGAGAAAAAATATCTTTGGACATCAACGCTGCTTTGCTGGAGGAAACTTGTCTGTTCAATTTGGGACTAATGAATGGGAGCGCTCTTATCCGAGTTTTATCCTTACAGGGAACGTCTGATTGAAGATTCAAATTCAACTTAGTGAACATACCAAAGGGAAAAGGAAATCATACTTCTTTTGGCTGTGGGTCCTACGGGTTGCATTTGTTTACTGAAGGCTGCCAAGGTGCTGGTGCAGGTGTTCCTCATGTTCTTTTGTTTTTTATGTTATGTTAGTTATGTTCCTCTATTCCTCATCTTGGTATCAGGCACTCACTACTTTCCTACTTAAAAACTTTGAAACTACTACTTAATATTAGTGTAGTTTGTCAACTTCAGTTTGTTTAGTTTTGTATTTATGATGTTATTTGATGATTTTAACATAAGTAAAAGCAGGATGTCATAGAAACCGTTTCGAACCGTTTCCCGCTACTTACTAGGTAATAGTCCGAAACCGTCCGAAACCGTTTCCCGCTATTTGCTAATTCATCCTGGCAAAAACTGCAAATAGTTTCAAATAGTTTCAAATAGTTTCTGAGAATGGCTAATTAGCAAATAGTCCGAAACCGTTTCAAACCGTTTCCCGCTACTTGCTAGGTAATAGTCCGAAACCGTCCGAAACCGTTTCCCGCTATTCCCTAGAAGGCCTAAGTTACATAACATTTTTGTTTTTTTTAATTATGCTGCTTTTATCATAAAAACATAACTTACTTATTTTTTCAACATAAAAAAGCTACTTACATTACTATATTAGCTTTGTTGCCAGTTTATTGAACTACTGTGTCTACAACGACGACAACAACAACAACTGCTGCTGCTGCTACTACTACTACTGCTGCTACTAGGACATTGCTGTATTGTTTTCGTATTGTTGTGATAATGTCTTTTGTTACCAGATCACATCATTCACTCAATATTGTTTCTGTATTTCGTCACATTGTCAAGTCACGCATTGTTCATGCCTGAGAAATTTCAATGACAAAAGGCAATGATGAATTAATGGTGTTTTCAACAAAGGGTTGAAAAAGGATGTGATATCACTGTCTAGGCTTTAGAAAACTATATACCGTATGTATCCCTATCGCCTATCGTCAAAACCTATACACGTATTTTTGTATTTTTGTGCAGTGGTGAGAACATGTACTAGAATGACAATGGTTTGACAATTTACAAGCAATATCATATAAACAAGTACTGGCGACATGTCAAACAATATGGTATCGGCATTTGCTCTGTATCGATCAGACAAGTTATCAAGTCTCGCCTTGTCATCGCTTTGACATTTTCACAGCAACATGACATGTAAAAAGTGTTGAGAATGATTGTGCTGAATCTTATCCACTTGAGATTCATTGTTATGCCACTACCTCCCCATACTTCATATTCCATATTTTATATGTCCCGGAAAAACCACTTGAAATTAGTCCCCTCAAGATACAAAAGGTACCTGAAAAACATGCTCGGGGACCCCTTTCATCTCCAGGACTTTCATCTTGGGGACCCCACTCAAAGAAACCTTGTCCATGAAAATGTTCTTTGTTAAACATACATACTCGTCGTATCTTGCGTCGCAACCGTGGCCCACCCAAAAAAAGAGGAACTAGAAACAAACCATTGGGTTTTGCAGGCCTGCCCAGTTTCCTGATTATTTCAACATGTTTTCACCCCTGGGTTTGAGGGGAGATTTTGTTTATGTTCGTAGTAGTCGTAGTCGTAGCCAATCCCGGGATGAACTGCAATTTTGCCCATCGGTTATGTTTACCCCAGCAACGTAACGCATATTGACATGGTTCAATGTCTTTTGGAAGGCAACGTTGCCACAACTTTGACCTACTGGTTCAGCCATTGCCACAACTTTGTCCCATGGGAAACAAGTATTCGTTAGATGTTGCATTTTTTTCCTAGCCACAGGTTTGTTCTAATAACATCATTTGTTTCCAAAGATTGGGATGTTGGCCAGTGTTGGCTACTTATTATGTCATTGACAGCAAACTAAGGAAGACTGTGCGTTCGAAAGCTGAGAAGACCGAGGGGGCTCCGGCTGGCAAGGCCGAAAAGGCCCCACCATCCAAAAAGCAAAAGAAGACCAAGTAGAATGCAATTTACAATTTTTGGTTTTGGTTTTCCCACTGAATCAGTGGATGGATTCTCAAACCTTCAAGGGAAAAGTTGTGCATTGGCAACGGCCAGGTGAAGTTCAGCATGCCCCTTCAAATTGTCGTTGGTTCCCAGTTGCTTTTTGTGAAAATTGTTCACATACTTTGTTCAATGTTAGATGGACTGGCCTGGTTAATCTGGAGCCACACCGCCCTTGATGCGTTTTGAGGCTGGACGTTGGATGTGTTCCCTTGACACATGTCTTAGCTTGAACAAAACCGGAAAACCTCAGTGCCACCAGGTGGAAAACAAAGAGTGCAGTGCTTGGCATTGTGGTGTGCAAACAATTGGCAACAATCCAGCATATTGAGTGTTCATATAGGGCTTGGTTTCTTGTATTGTAGGTGTATGTGGGGAATAGTTCCTGTTGCAGGGGTTTTATATAGGAAAGAGTTTCAGGCCAGAAATGAAGATGGGGATTTGCGGTGAGCACGGCGGAGATCCAGCCTCCATTGAGGTCTGCGAGAAGATCCCTGAGGATTTATGTAGGAAACATGCAGGAAATGATTTTTCTTATGTTAGCAAATAGTTTCCCAGTTCAGGGTTGGTTTAGGAAATAGTTTCCCAGTTCAGGGTTGATTTAGGAAATAGTTTCTGTAAATTAGGTTGATTTAGGAAATAGATTCTGTAAATTGGGTTGATTTTAGGAAATAGTTTCTGTAAACTGGGTTGATTTAGGAAATAGTTTCTGTAAAGTGGGTTGATTTAGGAAATAGTTTCTGTAAATTGGGTTGATTTAGGAAATAGTTTCTGTAAATTGTGCTGATTTAGGAAATAGTTTCTGTAAATTGGGTTTGTTTAAGAAATAGCTTCTGGCCTCCACAGACAAAGAGGCCAAGGCACTCCCCAAGGTATGCATGCATAGCAAAGGGAAAAGGGTTGCCAAAGGCTACAAAGGCCATGAAAGAACAATGCCATAGAGCTGTTGTGTTTTCATCAAAAGTGGAATACATCAAAGTACCAGCAACAGGTGAACAGAGAAAGGTAGTGCACAAACCCCGAATCTATGAGAAGACGTTCCCCGATTCAGAGTCAGTGCCAAAGCCAGAAAAGCTCACTGCTCACCGTGCCCAGGTTTCGGCCAGACAGTTGCAGGAACTTGTGAAGCTCTTCGGCAATGACGTGCAGCCCAAATGCCGTTTCCGATGCAATGACCCCGAAGGTGGGGTCTCATGTAACCACTGCAGAGCTCTGATCGGTCCAAAGAACAAACTCAGTAACACTCATTTGCCAACTGTTGCCACTCCTGCTTCAAAAGATGGATGTGTTTGGTTGTTTGATACCGGTAGTGAACAGGACCTGATCAGTGAAGGCATGTTGAAGACTGCAAAGGCAACAAATCGCCGTGTCAGTGACACTCCAATCAGTCTTGCAACAGCCAACGGTTCGACACGTGCGGATGAGGTGGCCGACGTAAAGGTCGATGCCGTGCACCAGCCGTTCTCACCATACATTCTTGAGGAAACTCCTGCTGTTCTTTCGGTCGGGGTAAGATGTATGGAGCAGGGATACAGTTTTGTTTGGCCGGCTGATGGTAGGCCCTACTTCATTCGTCCGGATATGGGAGTCATCGAGCTCAACGTAGACGGCCGTGTGCCGGTTATTGATAGCTCTTGTCGTGTTTTGAACAGTGGGCAGTTCAAGAAAGATTGTGATTTGTTACGTCTTTTTGCAATGGTTGCTGCAAAAGCAGAAGGTGCCGATGAAGAAGGTGTGGATGAGGGAGTAGCTCACGATAGTCAAACCGAGTACATCAGGTCTAGAAAGGCATCCGACCTTGAGCAAGAGGCATGCAGCAAATCTCACCAATTTTGCCATTATCCCAAGAACCCATTTTGCAAGATCTGTCAGAAGGCGCGCATGATGGCGCCACCTGCAAAGAAGAAAGGGGGACAGAAAAGATTGGAAACCAAAAGTTTTGGGGATCACATTGTCGCTGACCACACTGTAATCAAATCCAATGTGGAAGAAGGCGTCAAAGGTGAAACAGTGGCATTGGTGATGAAGGACATCCACACTCAGTTCAGGCACGTTTATCCAAGTCAGACCAAATCAAGTGAGTCATGTGTCAACGCTTTCAACCACTTCTTATCTCACAAGGATGAAGTTGGGGCAGTTTACACTGACAATTCAAGAGAACTTATTGCTACAATTTCAGAGTTGGGGTACAGACATCAAACGTCAACAGAGTATGTGGACAGTTCAAAGTCGTTTGTGGAGAGGGAGATCAGGCACATGCTTGAAGGCACACGCACAAACCTTGTGCAGTCCGGTCTTCCATTGCAGTATTGGCCAATGGCTATGCAGCATTTCTCCATGGCAGTGAATGCCACGCCACAGCTCAACGGTGATGATGCCC